AAATTTGACCGTGTGACCTTGACCTTTGAGACTTCAATACTTATAAAAAACTTTAACCTTGGCTATAAATTTTGAACAAAAAGTGCTAGGGCTTTCATGCTTTGCATATGTAATCCTTGTGAAAAGACGCTGTATTGGATACCAAGAATCTTGACCCTTTGACCTTGACTTTTGACCAACTTTTTAAAACCTTTAACCTTGGCCATAACATTTGAATGGTTAGGACTAGGGCTTTCATATTTCACATATGTAATCCTTATGACAAGACCTTTTATTTGATACAAAAACATTGACCCTTTTTTGACCCACTTTTACAACAAAAATTCCAAACATTTACTTTGGTCCTAATTTTTAAACAGTAAATACTAGGAATTTCATATTTCAAATATCAATTCTTTTTGGGAAGACCTTTCATTTGAAACAAAGAATTTTTACTTTGACCTTGACCTTGGAGATTTCCGTAGTTACAAAAAAAGAGACCCATGGGGCCACATCGCTTCCTAAGAAAAGTAGAAAATTTTTTATTATTATTGAAAATTTTAAATTTAAAGTAGTCTCATGACCAATCATGGCTTTGCTATTCTTGAGAAGATGATTTTTAAAGAATTTTCCATAATTGTAAAACTTTGGTCGGCCATTGTGGCCCCGCCCTACCACAGGGGGTAAAGTTTGAACAAACTTGATTCTACACAACCTGAGGGTGCTTCCATATAATTTATATCGACTTCGCGCAGCTTCCTCCATGGTTAAATTTTCATATGTGGAGAACCCTATAATATATCAATCATGGCTTTGTTATACGTGAGGAGAAGATTTCTAAAAATTTTCTTTTACATTTCATGTAAAAGTTTGGTGGCCATTGTGGCCCCGCCCTACCCCTGGGGTCATGATTTGAACAAACTTAAATCTACACTACCTGAGGATGCTTTCTATAAATATTATTTAAATTATGGCTTTGTTATTCTTGAGAAGAAGATTTTTAAAGAATTTTCCTATATATTTCTATAAAAAATTTGTGGCCATTGTGGCCTCGCCCTATCCCCGGGGGTCACGATTTGAAAAAACTTGAATTTACACTACCTGAGGATGTTTCCTCAAAAGTTTCATCTTTCCTGGCACAGTGGTTCGTGAGAAGAATATTTTTAAAACATACCATCAAATTTTCATTAATTCCCAATTATCTCCCCTTGAATGAGGGCGTGGCCATTCATTTGAACAAACTTGAATCCCCTTTACCCAAGGATGCTTTGTGGCAAGTTTGGTTGAAATTGGCCCAGCGGTTCTTGAGAAGACGTCGAAAATATGAAAAGTTTACAGACAGACAGACGGACAGACAGCTAGACAGACGGAAGCCGGACAAAATGTGATCAGAAAAGCTCACTTGAGTCTTCGACTCAGGTGAGCTTAAAACTTTAACCTTGGTCATAACTTTTGAACAGTAAGGCCTAGGGCTTTCATACTTCAAATATGTAATCCTTGTGAGAGGAGCTTTCATTGGATATCAACAACCTTGACCCTTTGACCTTGGAGTTTGACCTTCTCTTTACAAACTTTAACACTGGCCATAATTTTTTTTAAAAGTAGGGGCTAGACTTTTATACATTGTATTTCACATATTCAATCCTTGTGACATGACCTTTCATTGGAAATCAAGAACCTTTACCCTTTGACCTTGGAGTTTGAACTTCTTTTTACAAACTTAACCTTGTCCATAACTTTTGAATGGTAAGGACCAGCGCTTTCATAATTCCCACATATAATCTTTGAGACAAGGTCTTTCTTTGGAACTAACAACCTTGACCCTTTGACCTTGACCCCGGAGTTTTTCCTACCTTTAAAAACCCCTTGAACAGGTGGTGCTAGGGTTTTATATTTCACACTTGTACTTCTGAAAAGGCCTTACTTTAGGTACCAACATATTTGATCTGCATTTGAGAAAGCTTAACCTTCGCTATGTTGCCATACGGGGGCATCAATGTTTCACATACACATCATTACTCTCTTAAACAAAACGTAAACATCACCATGTTAAACGTCACGGTAATGGCGTGACAGCCTTTTAGCGACGAAAACAATGCTTAATTAAAACGGCTGTAAAAGAAAACCAGATCAGATATTCTTAAACATAAAATGTTTTACAACATAAAACTTAGAGTATACTGTGTGAAAGTCAATATTTAAAATATTTTATGAAGAGACAAATAAGATTTTTCCCAGTTGTAAACTCCATTGTCAATTCAAGAACTAGTATTCTGTTAAACGCAGTGTGAAACAATTTAAGGGCGAAAGATAATTAAAATTCCCAGAAAAAGAGAAAAGGCTCATTAAAACGTAAAACTTTTCTAAAATAACCATGAAGTGCTCACAAAATATATGTCTACATTGTACATATTTCTAACTTGAGATTTTCAAGAAATACACCCATCCCATGCAATAACGGTATTTCAAATATGCTTAGAATCAATTTAAACTTTATGGACAACTTATAATTTTACAAAAGTATATATAAAAAATGTCTTAAACAAATTGAAAAATTCTCCTTATTCTATAAAAATGTAAACTGTTTCTCTTTACATTCTCATATTTAAAAAAATATATAAATGATCGAACATAAAACAGATAGCATTTAATAAATAAAGACAGAACACTAGCTGATTTCCTTTGGAAAATACGTCGAAAGATATTATTAACGACCCAGGGAAGATATTATTAAGATAATTTTGAAGGTTTATTCTTTTTTTTAAAAGATAAACGACTAACACCGTCAACCTTGCTTTAAGAATAGCCATATATTAACAAATCTTTTTTAAAAAAAATATTCATTTCAAAGGGAAAAGGGTATAAACCATGAAAAAAAAGTTTATTAAGCAACTTACCAGTAGATGAACCTAAATAATTAAAAGAGTACAATTACCTAATGTGCAATAATTATAAAAAGAATATTGAAATGAAATTGAATGAATTCAATTGTGCCGCACATTTATTAACAAAAATGGTGTTGCAAATTCCTTGAGTTGTGTTCCTCTGTACTGATTACAAATGAGAACGAACTTTGTTTTTTTTGTCCCTTTGTTTTCAAGAATGACACAACTTTCCTGTACCTTCACTCGTTATTATACAAGTAAATATTAACTTTATCATTGACTTGTTCTACAGTAGAAGGAGTTAAAATTTAACATTACCTTTTCTTAATGCGGATTATGTAAAATAGTAGACGAAAAAAAAAATTTGCTATATTCCATAGATACGAGGGTCGTTCAAAAATCACGCGGACTGTGCTATTATTTACTCTTACAGACGTCATATAGTTATGAAATTTCACAGAAATATGTATCTTAAAGATTCCAATAAATTTTGGGCAAAATTTCTGTATTAAAAAAATTCTACTATACTTGTCAAAATTTCTAAGTCCCCACTTTTTTTTTCAAAAAGTTCAAAACCTTAACATCAATGTACTAGTTGCTTACAATTTTGTCTTTCATTTGCAATACTTACCTGTCAAGGCCAAAAAAATTGTAATCGAATGTGTAACTACTCGACCGTGACCTTTTTTAATAAAAAGCATAAAGTTCGAGTTGCATATGTTTTTCGAGTGTATTCTTCATATTTTTTTTACTTCCATGTGTTCTCCATTTTTAATTGATTGCGAAAAACAGAAAAAAATTTGATTAAAATTAGGTGTATGTCAACAAAACAATGTGAAAGTAGAGTTAAATGGTCCAAAATGGTAGTAGATAACGAGAGTTCTGTTTCGTCTCACTGTAATACATTATTTTACTTAAAACCTTTATAATTATCACCATAAAAACCTACAAAGCATACCTGAATTCCTTCTTATCATTAGAAATCGCTAGATTTTCAACAAACACTACAAAAGTATCCAAGAGTTTATCCGAAAAAATGAATAGAACAAGACCGGAAGTGCCCTCCCTTCAATGTCAAACTGGAGGACTGGGGTACTCATGTAATGAGTTTGTTAGCTAGGCACAGGCACTTTCGGTAAGCCCCCTTGTCATCCTAATATCAACCCTTACTAACACGTATGTAAGAAGATATACCGGAGTTTGAGACAGCTTTTTCAGCAGCAGAATCTAGCGGAACTAGAGGATGACCTATCTCAACATGGAAAAACATTCAATAAAAGAATTTGTCTTAAATAGTGTGAACTCTTTGAGGAACGGTTGTCTTGCTGTGAATTCGCTTGAATGGAGGATAATGCAGAATTTAACGTTGTGAATTTTTTTTAATTTTAGGGTGCCATAACATTTCTGCATATTGTGTTAAAGTGCTTCAATAAAAAAAAAATTAAGTGGGAAAAAATTGTATTGCTACTTTTTTTTATCCTGTATACTTATTAAGTTATGCTGTTAAAATAATTCAATATAAGAGCGATGTAAAACGAAAACTTGCTTGGGGACTGAGAAATTTTTACTAGTATAAATACAAAGTCGCCTTACTTATAACGGGACGCAATTGGTGCCAGTCGGAATTTCAATAATTTGTTAGAAAAGCTATTCTCTAAAATTACAAAGGTATTGTCAATCAAAATCTCATTTATCCTTTTGATTTCAACTACAGTGTACGTGAGTGTCCAAAGATTGTTGGAACTCCTGGTTTCGAAACAAAACATAGATATTGCCAATATTTCTACAAAGAGATACATGTATTTAATTCAATGTCAAATCGATGAATATTTGATAATCGGTTACTCGGACGTTATTTCAATCGGTAAAATTGTTAAAAAACTTATGTTAATTTTCTCAAACCCAGTTCAGCTCTGTTAAACCAAATGTCGTTTTTATTAGGTTTGTAGTGCATGTTAAAAAACTATGGGAGTCCATGGCCAACGATAATGATTTATTGTACTAAATTTATTAATTTCAAAAAATACATAAACAAAAGACATCAATTTGATACACCAGTTTTTACAAACTTAATGAATTACATTTTTATTTTGGAAGACGCTTAGTCAATCAGCAACCCACTTCAAGTTGTGATGATCATACAAGTTCTTTTATTTTTTTCTGAACACGCTGAATGTCTTTCTCTTTGCTTTCAATACAGTTTCGATAGCAGTGCTTCTTTATCTTTCCTCTTTCTGCCTCCCATTTTTTTCTTTCATTCTCTTCAATTTCTTTTTGACGTTTTTTTATAAGCTTTTCTGCCTCCTCATACATTTTATTTGTATAGAATTTTCCACCGTTTCTTGCTATATTTTCGTTAATAATCTTTAACAACTCTTTTACCTGAATTTCTTGTGCAGCTCCTTCCAAAGTATTATTGAATGCAAGAACTCTGTTTTGACATCTGTTAATAAATGTTTTCAGGTTCTCGGGTGCATTTTCAATAACATCTTGAAGGGTTCTTCCTTCACGGTCAAGGACATCTTTTTGAGTAAAAATAACTATGAAATACTCATAAATGCTTTCCCCAAAATGTTCAATGAAGTGTTTTACCGCTTTGTGTTCCTCCTCTGTGTATCTATCGAGTCCAAGTACCAAAATAAATGCGTGAGGTCCAGGAGATGTGATTGTTATACACTTCTGTAATTCATTTTGAATATCTCTATCCTCTCTGCCTGTATGCCAGACGCCAGGGGTATCAACGATTAAAATTTTTTTGTTAAGCCGAACTCGACTTGCCTGTGCACAGCTGTATGTAACAGAACTAGACAATGGCTTTGTTAAGAATATTTTTTCTCCTAAAATAGAATTGGCCGTGGCGCTCATTCCACATCCACTTTTACCCACCATTGCTATCCTTATTTCCTGCTCTTCTCCATGTATCACTGGTATTGCAGTATCTAGAAAAAAACAATGTTTTTCAATTCAAAAATAAATTAGAATTCGAAAGAAAGGAAATGCAGTTAAGACAACTGTCTAAACAATAGGAACATTAATAATTCCAGTGAAGATTTGTTTTATAATTGTTTTATAATTATACTTTTTTGATATAGCACTGTAGGAAGATAGTTTATCGATACATCATACTGACAGTTAACCAAAAAAAACTATTTTTGCAGGGAAAAAACTATTTGAAGAGACAATTTCCGTATGCCTCTTACAGTTTGGATTTCAATGATTTTGTGTTTTCGCAACATGCCCCTCATGTTTTACTGAAAATGATTATATACAGTTAAAGTATATCATTGAGGGAGTCAACAAGATTCCAGTTCCCCGAGAGTAAGTCTATTTCCCGAGGCGCTTGAGCCGAGGGAAATAGGCTTGCTCGAGGGGAACTGGAATCTTGCTGACTCCCTCAATGATATACTTTTACTGTTTTATTATACCGATACAAACAAGACATTTGAAAAAAGTTATATTCAATACTGTATTCTGTAACAATATTTTATTCCAACAGAAATAAATAAAAAATAACAACAAAACAGAATACAGGCATGAATAGAATTCCATTTAATCAATAAATCAGTTCATTGTCCGAGTTTTTTTCCTAGTAAAATCGAAAGTAACATTACGCAAATCTGAAGATCGCCACTTCTGTTGTCGTTTGCTACCAGCAAACTGGTTCTTTTTGATTAATATGGGACCAGTTGACTGGCGATGCATTTCGATTCATTAATGAATATTCATGAGTTTATTCGGAATATTTCTAAGTTTGTCGTAAGTTTAAAGAAAATGCTAAGTGTTCCGAATAGTTGAGTATCAATTCATTTAAAAAACGTACTTTTTTTGCAGGGAATCAGTCTGTTTTGCAGGGAATCTGTTTTTTCACGGTGATTTTCAGGAAATCAGCAAAATATATCGATTTACTTTTATATAGTGAAAAATCAGTAGAGGTATAATAAATGTTTTTATTGCTTTTATAGATTTCTGTTACTGCACCTTTTTTTTACACAATGATATTTAAAAAAAGGCTTTTGCAGTTCTTTAGTTAGGTTTTATGCAAAGGGAAACTAATTTAGTGATCACAGATATCCTTTACTGTTCTAGCTTACAGAGTTAATTCCTTTTAAAATAGAAATGGGATTATAAAATATTGTCTTCTTTAATGACGATGTTTTGATAAGGAGAAAACCTCTTATTTTTTTCCTTTGTAGTTCCTGAAATCAATTTTATAGTGTACGTTAGGCATATTAATTTATATGTATATATTTTTAAAATACTTCTACTAGTTTCTTTCCCCTTAAATCATTACCATTTTTTTTTGATGCCTTAGCTGATGACACAGGTGTTCTGTAAAATAAAACAAATGCAATGAGATGAAAATGGTACTGGAAGAATATCGTGACGTTTAAGGGAATTGTGAGAAAATATAGTTCATTTCAGTCTTCTTATTAAGTTATAAGGATCCATTTTTGTATTGCATTACATGTACCGGTAAGTTAATCACTTAGATGTTATGTTTTTAATGATTTGATGTATGAAAAAGGACAAGTTTGTTTGATTATTTTTTCCAAACTGATTTTGTTTTAAATAGAAATTGGAACATGTAACATGAAAATGAATAAATCATTTTGACTAACGTTATATCATTTTTTTTAGTGGAGAAATTTTGTTTCAACTTATAATGCGAATTGATTCTATTATGAAGGCAATTTGTGACTTGTATGGAATGTTTTTAATTAAAACTCGTTTTACTTTGGGAAAGTTAAATGGAAAACCACCTGGACCAGAGTCCAAGTAAACATAGCAGGATTAGACTACATAAAATAAATGCTACCCTTGATCATAACACGTTTGATGTTATCTAGGGAAACAGTACCGCTATTCATACAGAACACCTTTAATTGTACACGTGTTATGTATAGAGGAGTAATTATATCTTACCTTTTCTCAGATTTTGGTTGAATGTTTTCGATGACATTAACATTAAACTCTGCAATATGAAAATAAGAATCATTTTGTTATGAATTAAAGTCTTTTATCCGTTTACATGTACCTCAGAATTCAACAATTAAAAACGTATGAAATGAGGCTACTTTACACAAAACACTTTATTTGCCTCTTTTAGGAAATATAATGAACAAAGAACTTCACAACGGATACTGAACCACGTTTGATTGGAGTGTTTTTAGTAGTATTTCACAATCTTGTATACTTTACATCTGACATTTTCAGGTTCCTAAACATAAGATGTTGGTTAAAGCAGCAATAAAAGACCCGGTCGTCCAAATAGCGTCACTTTTCAGTGAAAAGTACCTATGTGTTGGATAGCTTCAAATTATTTTAAGCCGCCTCCATCCCGCCACCTTTTCCTGTTTTTTAGGACGTCCAATTCTGTCTTTCTTCTTTTCGTGGCTTTTAAGGAGGCTGGGGGGTCAACAAATTAACATCAAATTCACCACCAGATATAACTTAAATTTTTATATATGGTATCTTTAGCTGTCAACTATCATTTGGCAAAGAAAAATTTCATAGTTTACATATACGTTTTAAAATTTGACCATTTTTGTATACACATGTATCTTTCTATGGATCTCTTCTTCTAAAGGAGGTTGAAATAGTCTAAAAATGGCTGCGACCACCCAGCCTCTTTAATGTGTTTTACGTCGTTTTTGGTTTCAGACCACAAGATTCTTTGATATATTATGAAATCAATTACGATATATATTTTGTAATCACGGTTTACATATTAATCATATTCATAATTCGGTTTCGTTCTGCTGTGAATTTTTTTTATACAGATATAAAGTTGTTTATTAATAATTTTATGGATTTCATGATCAATTATGACATAATTAATTACAAGTATTTTCTATAATTTAAGTCACCTTAGTGGCAAAGTGCAATATAACTAAATGCCTTGTTGTTTAACCCCCTTCCACGATGTCACGCATTTTAACGCATATAGCATTTCCTATTTCTGACGCAGAATCACGCATATACCGTTTCCCGGCAATCAAACATTTTCATGCACTTTAAAATGATCATTAAATCTTGAATTTAATGCCAATTTCCTTCTATTTTACACTTGTAAAATTCTCATTAAATAAGAAAAGTTATATTTGTATCAAAATATAATGTCATGATATTATTTACGCTAAACTTTAGAGAAACGTGTACCTCGCTATAAGGTGCTGGCGGGGAAATGGTAAATACCTATTTCTATGACGTGAACATTAAGTGTATGTTGCATAACAGTTCAGTAAGTTGTAAAGAGTTACGAGAATGGAGAATGAAGGCGGTTTCTTGAAATACTGTGATAGTACAATAACTGTGAGTTGGATTTACAGCAGTACACGAAATTGTTAATGAACGAAAAGTTCCACAAATTATTTATTCTGTCAAAATGAATTTGCAGTGGCAGTTGAACATAAAAGAATTTAAAGCGGTAAAAATCAATAACTTTAAATTTATCGATGCTACTTGAATTATGTCTTATTATTCATGGTACTCAAGAAATTGGAAGAAAATGATCTCAAATATGAATACACTGATTGTTATTTTTAAAGATCCAGGTGGTTTACAGCAAGATAAATGGCTTACACAAATACTCAAGAGTTTAGTTCAGTAAAGTAATACCACAGTACCACAATTTAAATCAAATGTTTAACTAGGCAAAGTTAATAAACTTTGCTATAGCAACAATAATTATTGCCGAGATTCCAGTTCCTCTTAGTAATACATTTACGGTTTTGCACACCTTCGCTAGCTAATGGGTCCTGCAAAGTTACTCTGTTCATAAACCATTGGCCAACTGTGCAGGGAAAAGAAGTAATTGTTTTCGTCATGTGATGTCGAACTTAAACAGGTACGCACAGATTAAGTAATCAACAGCATCTTCAATACATATTCATAATTATATTTTGCACGTATCTTAAGATATAAAAAGACACTATATCTATTCACAGAATAGCAAATGATCGTTGTTTACTTGTCTTTTTTTCATTCTCGAGAGTAAAACGTCAAAACATGGCCCAAACGTTATTTAAAAAAAATGCTGATTGGTCATGCAATGTCGATACACCAAGAGTACAAAAATTCAAACTTTTTTTTATTACTATATGACTCCTTTTTATGAGAGGAGAAGCCTATTACAAACCCTTGGCCAGCAAATATAGGTTTTGAAAGACAATGTTTAATCAATAAATGTTGCCCACGCCTAATACATAGTCAATAATTGCTTTTTGATATGAAAAACATGTACAGGTCATAAAATAGTATTTTGGTTTGAATAACTTATATGTATCCTGGCCCCAGGATCATGAAGCATCTTAAGCTTAAGTGAAAAAATGCCTTAGATGCTGATTTTTTTAGAGGTCAAGCAGCTCAAAATGAAAATGCCTTCCGATTTTGTATCATCAGTCTGCTGTTGTATGCAAATTATGAGTTTCTTTTAACAAGTTTTAAAGATTTTACAGATAATTGAAATTTTGAATTAAGTGTAAGTCTGTTTCATGATCCCGGGGCCTGATTGTTGGAATCTTGCCTTGATTGTGTTACTTGGTGTTTCTATTGTGACATTATGTTTTTTTTTATTTCTAAAGATGTCGGTAGCATTTCATCATTAAAAATAATATTTCATTCAAAATCCACATCAATCAAACTTTAAGGAATACTATCTTTACCGCTCAATAGTAAAAATTAAATCACTGCCTATAGCTATCGCACATGTTAACATGCACACTATGTGATTACATGTATGTTGCAAATTTACTGTTAATTTTCTTAATAGAGACAATTCTTTATTGAATATAGTGAATGTTTATTATAGCCCTATATAACTTCTATAGATATTTTAGGTAGATATGAATAGGTCTCTATACTGTGTATGAATATCTATTATTTGTCGAAACCTTTTTTTGGTGGTGGGGGGGGGGGGGTTAACATTGGAAATAATTTGTTTCTTTGTGTGTTGTTTAACGTCCCTTCCACGAATTTTCAATTTTCACTCAAACGAAACGCCACCACTTGCAATTACCAGTGGAGAGTTGCAAATTTTGTCCTTTGCTGGGCATTTACGGCTATTAAGCAGTTAATGTTATTTTTTCGTACCAGCGCTTACTGCGACATGAGGCATCGGTATATACGTTATCTTATCCAAAGGACAAACCTCCACGTTCCTCAGAGGGATTTGAACCCGCGAGGGATCAACTCCCTAATCCGCTACTCAAGAACAAACGTTCTAACCACTGCCTCACGCGGGAGATTGGATAATAAAATGGGTTGTATTTAATAAAAAAAAAAAACACAGTTTTTCTATAAATGAAACAATTTGTTAGTTCATATCCAATAACTTGATGGTTTATCTAAAATCATAAATATAAAAAAGAAAATAAATCACTATATTATGACAAAGTTCGTATTTCAAATTTCCTTTCATAAAAACATTGAACTAAAGAGTGCTTAGTTCACTTTATTATCTTAAAAGAATTTTATAATACCAAAGGGTAATATGTGATCATAAAAAATGCATTTTCTTTAAGTGAGACGGTTGTATTAAATAATTTATGATCTAATTTTAGATCGCATGCCAATTTTTAAATTGCTTTTCGCTTTATTCAAAAACATATTTTCAGCCTTGTAGAAAGGACGCACTTTATGATTGAATGAGAATAAAATTGAACGTTTTATAATGATGTTGATCATTAAGGAGAGCGATTCCATATTAATGTCATCGTATTCACAACTAACCTGTCCCCGGTATCCTTTTAATGTTTTTTAAGATTTTCTTCCTATGGCCTATCTTTACTATACCAATCTCTTTCAGATCTTCCTCAGAAAATTCTGTCAGAGAATCAAGATCAACCCCCTCCTTTTCCATAATAGAAGTGTATTCTTGCAATCCCAAAGAATTCAGAAAGTCTTCAATGGTCTGTATGGATTCTTCTAGATTTGATGCCATTTCTGCAATATTAAAATTTAAACAATGAATCAAAATTTTTTGAAAGATGTATTATCATAACTGCAACAGTGAGTGCAGACAGATTAAGTAACGCGCGTTTGCGCATTATGAAAAATCGATTGCACACGCCGTTGCAATAATGAAGACTGTGCAATGAATAGAAATGAAATATATCATCGATTTGATGCATTTCATGTTTTGAACATGTTAAATGAATTTGATTCATATAACTGAAGTGTTAAGCTTGATTACTGCTCGTTATCCCTATAATGTGACATATTACAAATTATATTAATTCTTTGGCGTCATGTCAAATTTTTCCTAAATTGGTGTTAAAAGAAAAAAGAAAAATATGTTTCTGATTTATCATATATGTCTAAGCTCAAGCGAATATTTACACCAAAACAATGATGTTAATATAAAACTACAAATATACGAGTATAATAAAGTAAATAAAACCATACCGTGATTTTGGAAAATATAAAACCTTCAGAGATCTTGCGCGCTTCTTCGTTAAATATGAAAAAATGTTGACCGCGGGAATGCACTGATTTTTAAGCGGATTTAAACTCAATTCACCTGCCAGGTATTGGCTATTAACCTTTTTTCTTAAATTTTTAAATCCCCTAAGAGACTTAGTGGTTGAGTTTGCATTTATTGCTAAATTTTGTCTTTTATTAGCTAGGTTGTTGTTGTTGTTGTTATCTTGTATTTTCCTCCGTTGATCGGACCACCCTGTGAGGATAGGTAGATTACTCAAGAATGTTTTAATAAAAAAAGTCATAATCAAAGTAGTGTCTATAATCGAGATATGTTCACTGCCCTACTGTTGTGTATATCAAATAGCTAGGATAATTCATAATAATTGTTTCAGACGTCAAACTCTCTAAAAGATATTATGAAAAAATCTAATAGTACGATTAGCTTTCGTCTAGTTATTTAACTGACAGCCCCCTTGATAAAAGCACAAATTTTATTGAGAAATTAATTTGGAAGGTAAAATAAATGAAATAAATTAATAAATGAATTTTTTTCCTGCATATGTAATAACCGGTGTCAGTTGGACCTGCCTAGCGTGACGCAGCAGTGTCAGTGTGGGATAAGGTGAAGAGTCTATTCATACAATATTTGTATCAATGTCTCAAAGATTTCACAAACAATTAAAATAACGTTTAATTTATCAAATACACACCCCCTCCCCCCAAATTTTTGCAAAGCACAATGTGTAGGTTGTGGAAGGAATCTGCTAAAATGAATTGTAGGATATGTTTTTTTTTAAATCCAGTTTGTTTTATTCATTGTTATACTCTTATAAATAACTGTTTTAAAAATATTTATTACTAATAAAAAGTTTAACAAAAGAAATGTTTATTACATCAGTCCAACAATTTTTCCTATTGACCGACTTGCCGGTCAACATAAGAATTGTTAGACCGCAACGTCACAAGTAATTAATCATCGTTTAATATTGGCGACACGAAAATAGCCGAAGTTAAGAGTTGTTGCTACGACATAGGAAGAAGGGAAGAGTGTGTTTTGAAATAAATAATTTTTATGATATAATAAAAATCAATTAATCTTGTTCTTTTCATCTATTGTTTTATATTTACTGATTAAGCCATAATTGTTCATATTAAATTAATGATAATATAGTGTGTATGATGATATCGTAAGTGAGCACTGAAGGGTATAACAATACATTTATAGACTGGGATTCGGGCAATAAAATATTTGTTGGTCCTGAAGGTGAAAATGTTGCAATTGACCTGCGACCTCGGGTAACACTTTTACCTTCAGGTCCAACAAATCATATGTTGCCCTCATAAAAACTAAATGGTAGAAATCAGCCTATGTGATATTGCTAATTTTTTGTCAGTTTGATCTTCCTCTTCAAACTCACCTGGCTTGGTATATTTTTCTAAAGTTTATATTACATATTTAGAACCAAGATAACATATTCTGAAATGCGTTTTCACCTGTAAACCTTTACTGAATGTGATTTGTCTATATTTGTTTTTCCATTGAAATATTACTAATATTTTCCAAGTCTATTTCATTTTCCAGTTTTTCGGAGAAAAAATTCTAAGAACTATCCACTTTTCTAAACTTGTGACATGATATTAAATCTTTTTCAAAGAAAAAAATTGTTTGTTTCATCTGTCCTTACGCTTTGCATTTTCATGTTAGATAACCATTAACGGCATCTTCTATTAATGTTTTCAAATATGCAAAAAAGAGCGCTCTTTAGATCAAAAGGTCATACATAATTAAGGTAGGAGTGAAAATGAATATTGTTTTGTGATAATACCTAGTACATGTATCCAAATGTTGATTCAAAGGCCACAGAAAAAGAATAGTTTTCATATAAATTTGTGCAGTAATATACCATTATGATATATACTTGTATACGACGTAATATACCTTAGACACCATGAAATACACATTGTGTTTACATCTTACACATTTCTGTAGGTTCCTAAGCATAAGCGATAATATTATTTGAAGTGACCTATTACTAGCAACTTGGGAGGTCAAAAATAAGTATTTGTTAAATGTTTGTTATCGATCACTGATCCTTTTCTTTCCTTAAAATTTATAAATTTTAAATATACTAATAATGGTATGATATTGAAGAAGGATATGGAAATAACGAACAGTATTCAATATCAAAGTCCGTAAAACAATACAAAATAGGAGCAGAGCAAACACGGACCTCCAGAACATCAGAGGTGGGATCAAGTGCCATTGAGCAGTGAGCATCCCCTGCTGACCGGTCACATCCACTGTGTACTCCTTGTCATGATCGGGAAATACCACAAAAATCCGTCGTCAATTCAGTGTATAAACAATGAACTTATAACAAGTATGAAAAACGTCAGTCAGCATTTGTCTTAATAATAAAGTGTACATGTATTTCCTGACAAGGGCAATGCATCGACTATAGAATTAACGAAACGATGACTTTTAATGAGACTGTTTATATTCTTGCTTCATCAACTTGCTCAATAATAATTTACCTCGTCTTAGAAATTTTTCATACCTAGAGCATGCTCTTACAGTACCGACCGGACACAACCTAACAGAAAGCGAACCAGGAGCGGACCCCGGGTTCGCTCACTGGGTCCGCTCCGGGTTCGCTTGGGGTCCGCTAGGGCTGACCCCGAGCGAACTCGGAGCGGACCCAAAGCGAACCCGTAGTGGACCCCGAGCGAACCCAGAGAGCGGACCCCAAATTCAGTAGCGGTCCCAGAGAGCGAACGCAGGTTCGGTATTTTTTTTTACAGAGCTGTCAATCAGGATTAGCGATTAATCAATCAGCGCATCAACCAATCAAATTAGCATATTGATCTGTCGAATTGGATATAAGATTGAAAGTATTGATTGAATTCGATATAAATCCAAACACTGTACATACAAGCAAAACGTGTGAATGTGCTGTGTAAATCTATTATGATAATTGAAATATTATTTAATATTTATCTATTTTAATTCTCCGGGTTGTATTTTATATTTATATATTTGTTTTCTTTTTTATTAAAGCAATTAATTGATTATATGTTTCAATTTTCCATGTAGAATTATACATGAATATTTAGGGTTTTTTATACCAGTATTTAAAGACAATTTGGTAAATAAATTGGGTAAATACACCAGTCAATGCATAAAAATGAAAATCAATTGATATTACTTTTTTTAATGACAAAAAGAGGAGAAAAGAAATATATTTGGTCTTCGACAATTATTGTAAAATTTCATCATCTCAAGATACTTACAGTTCAGGAATATTAACGTGCGTAATATTTACATATAAATAGATACAGGAAACATCAAGACGAGAGAGAGAGAGAGAGAGAGAGAGAGAGAGAGAGAGAGAGAGAGAGAGAGAGAGAGATCGAGAGAGAGAGATCAAAACACTGTAAACTCTCATTAGACTTGATTTAATAATAAAGCCTGATGACTTTTACTTAAATTTCTATGAGTCGTCCTCCCAATACTGTACTCAAATTCTTTTCTATAAGCCTGCTGCAGCTTTTTTTTTTTTAAATATACATGTACAGGAAGATGAATATAAAGCACTAAAAATGATCAACAGTTTTCGGGACGCTCTGTCTCTTCCTCAGGACAAAGAAAAAAGTTAAAAAGTCATAAGAACAAAGGAAAAGAGAAATAAAAAAAAAAACTAGCTCTACTTCTAAACACTACATATTTACATAGTTACATGCTGAATTGGAAATTTATATGAATACTATTAAAGAAAGAAATCCGGGGTATTCTCAGGTGAAGTGCGATTTAGATAATTGAACGAATTAATTACGCTAATTAATCACGACATTTAGTAAATCGTACATTGTTTCATTCTCTCAAAATGGCGTAACTATACTTGACAAAGAATAATCAGAGAAATATATTATGATCTATTATAAATTTTGAAATGTTTTAGGACTAATTATTGGGAAGAAATAATTAACAAAGGCGTAAGCAATACATAGTTATGTGGGTTGTACGAGAGTTGGTAACGCAAACTAACTGGAGTTACACTAAATTGAAAGAATAATCTTGTTAAGTATCATCAGGAATTGGGTCTAATTCACGTTCATTCTGGTGAAGTCATTCAGTTTGTTAATACCATTAGGGCGGAATGACAATCTGTGCATCCAGAAGGAAGATTTTCATATACACGCATTTTTTTCATACCCAAGAAGATCAAGAAGATCAATAATTTTGATGTAAATTTTGAATTATTTAATGTAACACGTAAATTGAGAAATCATAAATAAAATAATTAAATAATTAGAATTTGTCAAAGACAATGTGTGTGAAATAGGGGGCATATACATGTATTTATATTAATATTCTTATCGGGTCTGGAGAACAATTATTATTTGCCTTTTTCTTTATTCTGATAAAAATCATACTCGCTCCAAAATTCTGACTTAAATATACAGACTGGTGTAATTTTTTTTTTAGAAAATGTCCGGTAAATATATATATTTATTACGAA